GTTGTACATAAATAAGTATGTGTTAAAAATATTAAGACAGACAAGACATAAAAAAGGACAATTATTAATTAATAAACTTGATATGTATTTGACAAAATGGAAAATGTTTTTTACGTCTTGTCTGTCTTGATATTTTTAACAGTATGTATACATTATATATCCAATTCTAAAATTTATGATTGAAAAATACGACTGTAAACAATACACATATAATTAAGTCCTTTTGAACACTTTAAAATACAAAAGACTTAAATGGGCGTATAAGGTTGAAAAATAGGTTTTATGATGTGGCAAAATTAATCCACCAAAATGAAGGGGTTGTCTGAAGACAGTTAAGATGAATGCATATTTATCGGTTTGAAAATCTTAGGGGCGCATACCTTTGGATGGCTGTGTGGTAATTTTTTTTTCTTTTTCACGAGTGTAGGACTTTCGGCCTGGGGTGATTATGAGAAACTTACCCTCCGCAACAAACAATAGGGAACGTGGGTAGCTCTGAGTCTGCTGTTCCCAAAAGATTCCCTATGGGTAAATTGAAAAGATTTTGTGGGTAAGAGGGAAGTAGGGAAGGGGTGATATGGGGTGTTTGACACAGCAAGCGGGCCAAAAACTATGAATAGGATTAGGTACTTCCAAGAAGGGAGCCCCAGAACATCCTGTTACTTTTATATTTAGTGTTCGCGGCCAACGAAATAAAGAATTCAAGTTCAAATTACTGCAAGTATTTTACATTAACAGTACTTAAAATCACTATCATATACAGTACTAAAAGAAGCATAAACTATTTATTATATGTAGTAGGAATTTGCGTATTTTTGAATCTAAAATTTTGAAACAAAACTAGGTTTATTTGGGGCGGATATCCACCACCCGTAGACACCATCACTTCCTGAGTCGTTAATGCTAAAGATTACAGCAGTATTCTAATACAATAGTAATGTATTTCCTAGAAGGTTTGGCTCCAATGTTATTTGCCCTGCTTCCTGTGTCGACGACCCTGTTCACCACCCCACAAGTATTTCCGGGAGATTCCTGGGATTTAGTGGGTAAAGTGCAAGCTAAGGTCAGGTACCTACTACCGAGAAACCTACCCTTTACACCACATAATAGGGGCAGCCCAGGCCGAGTCAAGGGCAGCGCAGGCCGAAAGTCCGTTTCCCCTTTTTCACACATTTTACCCAAAATATCATTAAGTAAATCCATTAGCTGTGTCTTTAGTTGGTATTCAATTAGATTTCAGTTCGAAAAATAGATTCACAAGTTCAATCTTTGATATTTTTATATTTTTGACTAATTTTACCCAAATTCTGAGTGAAACATTACTGTCCTCTAACCTCTTGAATTCTTTTAAACCATTAATCTCTCTTCTTTTCAACTATATTTATGAAAATATCAAGTCCTGTGTGTTCAGATATATTAAGAAATTATGACAACTGCAATCAATATACAAAAAAATAGTAACGTTAGGTTATTCATTTGTTTTTCCAAATGTATCCTCGTTTGCTACAACCATGTGCTTAAATCATAAACGTCAAATTTTCCTACTGGTATTGAATATATCCAGCTAAGCATCCTAGCTTAAGGTACACTTAAACCTAAGCTAAATCCATTCAACACAGCCATCCAAAACAATGCCACAGGAATTCCGTCCGCGGTGAAACCAGTCTTTGGCAAGGCAGTCGATCACCCTAAGGTGCTTCACCCCTCTGGGGGGGGGGGTAAATCTGGCTTGACAGCTGTGCCACGCGTCACCTGGACCCCTTACACCCCTCCCCCCTTTGTCTTACCCCTACCGGTGTTTAAATTTATGTAAATGATGTTTGTCGGGCATTGTTTTATGGGTGCACCCGGCCCAGTGACGGATTCGGTTTTGGTTTTCAGGTGACCCTCGTCAACTCGAATGTTATTTTGAGGGATACAACGTAGCGGGTGCAATAGGTTGTGAGAACTAATTAATAGCCTTAATCAGTGGTAGCCATATTGGATTTTAGTCCCATAAGAGCAATGTTGAATTAGACAGAACATACCATCATTTGATGTAGTATGCCGGTGTTATTTATAAAGATATGTGTTTGAAAATTTATAATTATGTTTATAACATAGATCATAGATTACTAGGGAAGTAATGATTCTGTTTTTCCATTTTTTTCTTTTACTTTTCTTAATTAATAATTTAATGAAAGGCTTAATTAATGATCAATTACTTATTAAGTGGAGGTAAATGGCAAAAATAAAATCTTCACTCCCTAGAGGACCACTAAACCTAAATTTTAACACCTCAATCATTATTTTAACACAACAGGCTTTTTAGAAATTCTGTCACAAAGTTAACATTGCTCTTATGGAACTAAAATCCAATAGGTCTATGGCTACCACTGATGAAGACTCTTAATGAGTTGGGAATTGGCAATTTTGGTTGAGAATCTACTCATTTTTGACGTATACCCATATGATTTTTACATTACCTACTATACTTAACTCTAAAGTAATATGTTTCAAATTTTGGGATCGATGTGAATGATAATTTTCTTTTGTAATCTATTGACACAAAAATAGCGTCTTGGTTGGCATTTTATTTTTTGGCTATTATAATACTTTTCGATTTGTCTACATTTATTTATGCTGTAAACGTTTACAAAACAGTAAATATATCATCATAAATGTCAAAAAAGAGAATTATTTGGAATGATTTCGACTGGTCATCTGCTCCAAGTGAGATTCAATGCCAATCATGGATATATTGAAAAGCGGAGTTCCGGAGTACAACGTTTTATATTATATAAAACGTCAGTACAAAGGACATGTCCCTTGTGCCCAAACAACTTTGTTACAATTTCATAAACCTGAACTAGCTTCAGTAATTAATTGTAAAAAATAAACAAATAAATAAATACAAATAAAAAACTAACCACTTCGCCTAAACCACTCCTAGAGAAAATTTATTTCAATAACATTCTAAATAACTTCTTGATCAAAATTAATCTAAGTTAATCTAAATTAATGAATCAAATGAAAAAATGAATCAAATGAATTAACGAAATTAACGAATTAATGAATTAATTTTAAATTAATTGATCTAAATTAATGGATATAGTGATTTGCCTATTGGGTCTGATGATGATTGGAGTGCCCAATCGAAATCGATCACCACTTACCATCTTTTGTGTATATTTACCGTCTTGTGAGTGACAGTATAAGCGTAAATATATGTTTTAAGTGTTATAAGACGTTTCTTTTATTTACTCTCCGTAATAATATTCTGCAAAAAACCTGCATTTAGCCTGTCAATGTTCATTACTGTACCTAAATATTTATTTGGCACCCTTAGGTGCTCTGATTCCTCGTATGGAAATTATAAATATTATTCTGTATGGTTTTATGCCACTTAATTAAATCAATAATGTGATGATTTTGATGACTAAATTAGGATTTATTCAGTTAGACCCCAGGATTTATGGTGGAAGGGCGTGTAATTTTGTTTTTTTCAGTTGTTGATATTTTTTATCAACACAGACAATGAGTTTGTTACTTAGCCTATATATGTTATGAGAATGTGATAAGCAGTATAACCTACTTATAAGCAATTTGATAGTCCAACAAAAAGATTCAACTGTACATGGTACATAAAACAATTTAAGCAAATAAAAAAGTTGCTTAAATTTGTGACATTCCTACAATAGGAACAAATAACTGATAGCACATAATAATGCTATTTTATCATGTGTCATAAAAACTTTGTGCTTAATTTATTTTTGCCCAATTCGTATTATTGAGAGGTTAACATAAAAGAGGGTCATTATAGTTCCACCTCAATAAAGAAGAATTTCAATTCATTCATGAACTTTTATTGAGACTTAAGTCTAAGTCTCTGTTTTCCTACATTCAACCTTTACAATGTATACCTAAACGTAAAACGTGTATTTAAATAAGGTATATTGAAGATGGGCAAATTTTACGAAAAGTAGACTATACAATAATCTGATTTATATTACACAAAATCACATTATATATTATATAATTTCTCGTATGGTTGCTTTATTACAAATAACTTTATATATAAAATATAAAGATATTAATAGACAATAGGATACCAAAATAATTCACTGTTGACTATTGTGACAAAGATGTCCTGATAAAAATTTATATCTAAAAATGCATCATGACATTTTGTATATAAATTTCGTTTGAAGTGGTAGGTTATGTATGGGGAGTAGGAATGAAGGAAAAAAGACGATTTTTTATTGAGAAAAAATTCTGACTATCTTCACCAAATTTTCCTTCTACATAATACAACATCCAGTTGCTTCAAAATAATTATCCCACCTTTATGGACAACAATTCACAATGTGCAATTATTAGCTTAACAATCCTCACAATCGATACTTTTATGCCATCAATGCATATATTATTGTGCCAATGCCTTAATTTTATCTGTATTAAAAACGATTTTATGGATTAGTATTTAAAATTAATTAGGGTTTGAATAAAGCTACCTTATGTTTTTCAGTACTAAATAAAATAATAATTTTGGAAATACAGAATATAGAATATAGAATTAATTCAAATACCTTGCAGGAGCCTAAAACAAACTGATACTTTAAATATTTTATAAGTAAACCGCAAACGAATAATCAATATTCCCAAATCTACTTAATTAACAAAAATGCAAAAGTAAACTGAAATTCAACCTATTATTCCCAACGCGTACTAAACAGAAGGAAAAACTCCTAACCCCTCCCTCTCCTACTTTCTCTTGTCGCGTGCGCGAAGAAATTCCGACAAAATCCTCATTCACACCTGACAACGATCGGCGCAACACTGGGGACCAAAACGCCGCTCGCTACAGTGGAGCAGGCCGCTCTGTGATTGGTCGGCGGCGGCGCCCTCTGATTGGCTGGCGGGCACGTGCGCATGTGTACACCTGCAGCGGCACGGTGGTGGGGGAAGGGTATATAAAGCGCGTCCCTACCGCCCCGCCTCATACCTGCTGTAGACCTCGCCGTGTGGATATGTGCTAGTGTAGTGCCGTCGAGTTCTGTTCAGTTCAGTGTTGTGATATTTCGTCATGCGAGTGAGTGAGGAGACACCGACAATGAGAGCTGTTAAGAAGTCCAACTACAGCAACTGCCCGCTGAAGAAGCGACCGGTGTACTTGTTCAAAGATGATATTAAAGGTACGGTGGATTTTTCGATTTTATTAACTTTTATAATTTATAATTATCGTGTTACGTTAAAAATGCTGTGTATCGGATTGTAATTTGAAATAAATGCTGTTCTCTTATTCGATACATTTCAATTTAAAACACCGTAAATATTATTTGGCTATCGTATAAGAATAATATCGATAGTGACTAAGTATTTTACTTTTTAAATTGTGAGGGTAGACTACATTAAGATTTTTTCCAACTATCTTTATAATTCGCGTATATAAATAATAAAATTGTAACCTCATGTATACTGTTATTGTTATCTTATTTTTATTGCTTTAAGAAGTTAAAAATTTGCAGTGCTGTATTTTAGTTCAAGGAATTAATATTTATAACATAGTGTATAATTTGCTTTTGTGAAAAAGGATTTTATTGAATTATTTAACATTTTCAAGTTTCGACTTTCGGAAAGAGTCAGTAAATTTAGTACAGTACAGTATACTGTAAAATTCAGTAAGTTTTAAGCTAACATTTGTAGTGTTACGGAGTTAATGCTACCAACCAAATCGCTCATTTTTATCCATCTTAGTACAGTATAAGTAAATTAACATGAAAATATTGTGAAAGTTATATTGCGATAATAGCTTATAATATTACATTTATTTTAAAAATAAAGTTTAATCTTTCAAGATATAACTTTTTGAACTAACATGTAAATAAATGTCAACAATTTAATGATATGGACCCAATAGTAACGCTGTTGTCGATATAGTTCTTCGGGGCGATGTTTATTTAAGAATTAAACTATTTGAGCACTATTGTAACATTTTTCTCAATAAATTAAAACTTAAAAAATACCGTCCCTACATAAAAATAGCTTAGAACTAGTTTTATTCTATGGAATCATGAAAATAAACAGCTCAAAGATATTGGACATTGGAATAATATGACTAAAGCAACGTCGACTTAAATATCAAATAAATAGGCTACACCACAATGTTTGCCTGAATTGTCATAAATACAATATTTTTATTTGTTTATGTAGGTATATATTTAATATATATATATATATATATTTGTTTTAAAATATTAAACTCATGGGGGTTTTATCTTCATCTATACGTAATTTGTATCTACATCTTGATGTATTTATAATAAATATAAAACATTAAAATGTTTTATAAAACTATGTGTACTTATTAATAATTTTAGAAGCCTTCTGAATAATAGAATAAAACGTAGCCTAATAAATTAATTGTTGTATAGTAAATGGAAAAATTAAGTATTTATACAATTTCAACATAAAACTTTAGCCAATTAAACGTGAACACACTTTCAACTGTACGAATTCTTTATCTAATGGCACCGTTTGTTGAAAGTAATGTCCACTAACTTTCTTTTCACCGTGAGGGGGAGTTGGACCAGACTTTCACCACCCACTGCCCGTCAACGTGCGTACTGTTTGTTATTAAATCCTAATTAAAATTGGGAATTCTCTAAATTATAACCAATTAATAGTATACATTTCTTATTATTTCGTTACTATAGTAGTTTTTGTGACGCATCATTTGCAGTGGGAATTTTAATAATGAAAAAAAGTGTACTCGTTTCGTTCATTTCGCCTTTTATATTGTGTGAAAGCAGTTGAAGTATTCAAAATACTCAAGGGAGATTGATATAAAATACACTGTTCCTTTATCTGAAAAAGTATTTAGTTTAAATTTTAAATACATTTAAATTCTTTGTGCAATCTATATGTACATATTATGTGGTAATTAACGATTACAGCACAAGTCAAAGTAATAAGCATTTTGAATTATTAATCTGGTGTTCAGCTTCGTAGTCTACTAAGTTTGTTGACATGGTGGGATAAGAAACGCGAATGTTATGCCGTTTATAATAAATTAACCACAAAATGATATATTTATATGCTACTTGATCATTTTGTTATTAATTTTACCAACTATAGGGATGTTTTGTTGAACATATATTTTTTTTATTTCTTGTCTTTATATTTGTCACATGCAGATTGCTATATGGTTTGTGTTTTGTTGCGCAGATACCGCAGACGACGACAACTCGGAGCCTGAGAACCTGAGTACCAAGCCCGAGGACCTCCGTCTGACGTGCAAGACGCTGACACCGCCCCCAGGTGTCGCTCTCATCTCCGCCAAGAAGCCCTCAGTGGAATCCAGCCCTCCCTCGCCAGCCACCTCAGCCCTGCTGCAGCAACATCTGCAGTCGTCTCTGAGTCAGCATGGACACCACTTCCTCAGCAAGACCTCCGGAGGACCTCTGGAGCCTTTGAATCTCAATACCCCTGTAGACCCTTACAGAGCGACCTCCCCTACAGCGTGGCACCGTATTGCACCACATTACCCTCCGTATCTCTACCCTTACCCACCCCCTGCTGACGTGTACAGCCATTACTACCCCTCAAGAGTCACTTCGGAGCAGCCCCTATCACCGTACGCTCCCAGAGATATTTCCCCCCACGCGTTCCGCCCCACCGCAGCAGCTTTACCCAAGTTGTACATGCCTTACCAACCCACCGACCCCGTCAGTCTATCCCCGACTTCCTCGACGTCTTCTACGTCCAACAGTTTATTCCTGGGAACTTCCCCTCCTCCGTTGACACCCGAGGACCTCTCCTCCCCCGGAAGTGTCGCAAGTTCCGGAGGTTCCAGCACAGGAAGCACCGGATACGGCAAGAGAGTGAAGGAAAGTTCAGGAGCTCCTAGATACCAATGCCCCTTCTGCTCCAAGTCCTACTCCACCTACTCCGGACTCTCCAAACACCAGCAGTTCCACTGCGCCGCCAACGAAGACTCCACCGCCAAGAAGACGTTCAGCTGCAAGTACTGTGAGAAGGTGTACGTCTCTCTAGGCGCACTCAAGATGCACATCAGGACGCACACACTGCCCTGCAAGTGTGTTCTGTGTGGAAAGGCGTTCTCCAGACCCTGGCTGCTGCAAGGACACATCAGAACACACACAGGAGAGAAACCTTTCTCGTGCCCGCTGTGCAACCGAGCCTTCGCTGACCGCTCCAACCTGAGAGCCCATCTGCAGACACATTCCGACGTGAAGAAGTACTCCTGCACCAACTGCAGCAAGACCTTCTCCAGGATGTCCCTGCTGTCCAAGCACCTGGACGGAGGGTGCCCGGGGGTCGGAGGGCAGAGCCCTGACGAGCTGTACCAGTGGGCGCCCCAGCAAGGCCTCAAACACAGAGAGGGGTCGTCCGAGGATCTCTACCACATGTCCCAACAACCCACCTAGTTGCGTTCTGCTCCCTCTTGAACAACTATTTTCTTTTGTTTATATCTTCTGATCTTCTCTATTACCATTTCCAGTGATTTTGAGACTGTAAAATACTTAATATATTCTCCAAGAGTCATAATATGTTTATTCTTTTTATGTATATTTTCGTCGGTTCGACATTAATTCTTGAGTCATTTTAGTTTTAAGCGGAGTGGCTAATTTTCCCTTAATTGTAGTGCCTTTGAGAAGACTGATTTTTGTAATTCCGTGTCGTATACTCGCCTTAGATTTAGTTTTTAGTTTTATCACAATAAATATGTACGAACAAAAGTGCCCTTTGTATTGAAAGTAGAGTTTTTAGTGCCATACTGCCATATTTTTAGATATTTATTTAAATTGCATATCCAATAACACAAAACGACAATCTTTGAATCTCATATTTTTATAGCCATTCTGGATGCTAGTCAATCTAATGTAACGTTAGCATTTATTGTATATAAGTAGTTATTGTATAGATAGATTTGTATTGTATATAGTGCATTAAGTGCCTTAGGTTTGTATTTACTGCTGTTCCTTGAGAAATATATTTTACATTTTTTAAATTTTATACAACTGTAATAAATTATATTGTTTTATGGAAACCTTTGTTGTCATTGAAAAAACCCTTGATCGAAAATTGGTAAAATAACTATCAGAACTACTCATAGAGTGCAATGGATATAATATATTTTTAGAAGTGAATAATTAAACCTTTTTAGTTTGTCATTTTAGTTGAATTCAATTTGTTCAATTACTTTTTACTCTGCAGAATTATTATCAATAAATATAAAAAATCAATCAAATTTCACCATAAAAATGCAATAATGATTTTTCACAAACATATTCAATAATAACATTACAATACAGTATTTATTAAATTATATTCATGGATACATTGAATGGCAAAAGACACAATGGTGTAGCCTATTTTTAGAAAGAAAAAATGTCATTATTTGATATCATTTTATAACACAAGAGAAAAGCAAACCCAAAAGTGACTACAATCTCAGGTATATCATGATATGATACAGAACGTATAAACAATACTTGAAGAAGAGTTCAGCACATCTGGAAATACTAGTAAGTCCCTATAACTAAATAAATTTATACTGAATGTGTACAGCTTTTCAACAAATCGGTTAGTATTAAAAATCAAAGTCATTCAATGATTTTTTTAAGGTCAATATACTAATATTCAAGATTGACTTTGTTAAATAAAGACCATAAGTATCATCAACTATCCAAATAGTTGCCTTTTAGACAAGTCAATGTACGAGTATTTGTAGTTGTCTATTAAGTAGTTGATGCAGTGTAACACACTTCTATTTATTTTACCCCATAGGAATGTTTAATACTATCAAGTTTTTCTATAAAGCATTTCAAACTTGAATCTATTGCTATTATATGGTAAGACAATTACTGTCACTAAAATATATATAATAAAAAATTTATAATGTTGAACCTTTTAATACAACTAGACGTTCCATCCCCATGTTAAATTTGTAGCCAGATTTCTTTTATCAAAATTGTCGTAGTTGATGTGAGCCTACATATTGCACTGATCTAAATTTCTTAATTCTGTCAAATACACAAACTTGTTTTTGTTTACCAAGTAAAACTTAGGAAATGACTTATGATGAGTTATAGCAACTGTTATGACCCATCAACCTGGTCAGTAACAATAAATAAGGTATAAAATAGAATTTTAGACACTAGTGCATTCTGACTAGCTCACACAACTACTTTCTTTTTAATAAGATAATTGGCTACAGGTAGTCCATATAGATGGGATGTATACTTCAGTATCCAATAGTCAATGGTTGAACTTAATAAAACTTACAGCTAACAAATACTAAATAACTAATAACAATATATTATCATAGAATTAAATGCTATTTATACTTGGCTTAAAATACCTACCTTTTTAGGGTCGCCATTTCAGATTAAAGTATTCAAGAATCGACTAAACTATTTTGACTATTTCCAATTACAGTAATATTATACTGTTTTTGTTTGTAGCAGTTTAATCAGTTGCCAATACTGAAGAAAGTAACAAAACAGTGTCTCTCAATAATTTGAATTATTGATTAAGTACTAATAACGTTGCATTCACAACAATACCTTTGATAAGGTCATGTCCAAGGTCAGATCAGATGTTTATTGTTAGTCAGCTGATTTGAACACAAGAACAGCTGATTGTGAACACAGGTGATATGATATTGATATCGACCGCCTGTTGCGTTAATCAAATCATCATTCATATTTGTTGTTTTCTCACGATACTACACACTTGATAATTAGGAAATATCAAGTCAATTTACAGTCTGATGTTGTCTTGTCGCCTTATAAAAGGTTATAAAAATATCAATGGCAGTAGGCCTATAGAAAACCTACGTAATTGGGTGCCTTAGATAAAAACAAACTATGATAATATTTTCCTTACAAAAAATCAATTAATCGCACTTGTTTTTATTTATTTATAAACAGTGATACATCGTTTCGCAATTTTACTAGATTTTTGGCAACATAAAACAATTACCAATTACAGAGTAGTTATTGCATACCAATAATAATACGAAGACTAATAACAATATTACTAAGACTAGGCTAGTTTGAATTTAGTTTGACTTAAGTTAAATTAAGTTTGAGAATCACGTACATGAAACTCTCTTGCAAGTAAAGGCCTTTGTATCTATTTATTATTGATTTAATACAAACTAAATACATATACAACAATGCACTGTAATTAATTTACCAAAACAACGTTTAGCTGTATCTAGCAAATTGTAATATAATTACACAAATAACCCCTAATTGAAAAAAAATATAACAGTCATTTAATTTAGTAACACGCGAAAATACACAACTTCTGAATCATTACAACTATATGACAGAAGAATATAAAAGACAACAAGATTAGCCAAAATAACGACTTAAACCTTATAACAATATAACTTCAAATAAATGTATAATTGGGGTCAAATACTATGTAAACCCTTATAATGGTAAGTCATTACTACTTTATAAAAAATACATAGTATAATGTCATAATAACAATGTAGTTTCGGTACAACAACGCATAACAAGTTGTGCAAGTCATTTTCGACAATGTCAAAATCTGCTTTGAAGAATCTGACACAGCTCTACTCTGCCTGGTATATTAAATATGGACCTATGATAATGTCATAGCATACATGGCTAATAAGTTACAGTACAATTGTGTTGTTCTAAAGGAATGTTTCACTTTTGACCCTAGAGATTCCATTGTAAGAGATTCTTGCATTAGTATCGGATATATAAAGTGATGAACCTATTTCTCTTTATAGCCCTGCAATACCAACGCATCCTTCACATGCCTAATGTAACAGTTTTTAAAACCCTTGAATCATCATACTACTCCTTATAGAAACAAAACTACCGTTATTGCAGTTTTGAGCCTAAAATTAGAACATTTTAGAACGGTATTTAAAAGGCTACATCTGTTAAAGTAAATATTGTCCAAGAAATTAATGTATATGCGTGACAAAATGATAAATGAAATGCAATATATTTTCTAAAACTTACATTTATAACACACACTTTTACAAACTACGATTTCTTGTAAATACAACGTATGATACCTGAGATTCAAATTAAAAATCAACTCTAAACACTAATTGGTTTAACGAAAAGTCTCTATCATCTTTCAATAAATAAAAGAGTTGTCAAATGATAAATGCATATTTCACAGGTGACATATCCGACCTCTTTGTTAGTTACACAATGACTCAGTTGTCAAATATTGCTCTAATGATGATATTAATTTCCCTAAATCGTCGCCTGAACGATAGACCGGAAGACTCTATTGTTTACAATATGCTAATGTTCTAATTAGACTGTTTTAACCAACCCACGGGACTTCTGATAGGACCGTTAGGTTTCGTAAGACCTAAAGAAGGCGTACCGAATAAAATTTGATTTAGTGTCAGAAAAAAATCAATAGTTTTAAGTGCTCTTCAGCTATTATTGTTTTACAAAACGACTTTAAAAATACCCCCGCCGCAGCAAACCTGCCGACTAAGCGAATTTCCATTTGTCTGAATTGATTTTCAGTTAAACATATTTTAATAACATTAGGTTTAACGAGTACCTAGGTTTGCTGCTACAAGGAAACTAATAAAGTGTGTTTTTGAGTAAAATATTGATAGCTTAGTACAAAATAAATAAATTTGCCAAGTTTGATCAAAATATATTCATAAACAAGCAAACTACAACATTTGACAATATTCTCCATAAGAATAACATGGGAATTTTAAATATACCATTTTTTAAATTTTCTCCGTTACTAATAATCGAACAAAAATACTTTTATATACTAAATTATTTGTTTTTTTAAGCTCTTTAAAAAGGTCTAAAGAGAAATTGGGAAATTTTGTGTTTTGAGGGTCAAAAGTGAGAAAAACCAATTTTTACCCCATAAAACCCCCCGTAAAGCCCCGTTCCCATGGTCCGATCGTGCTGGTTCGCGAACTCATTCAAGTTTATCCCGCTTTACACCTTTAAACCAAATTTCATCAAAATCGGACAAAAATTACTCAAGTTATCGCGTTCACGGACGTATATATATATATATATATATATGTCTATATATATATATATACATATATAAAAATTTGAACGAATAGTGTTTTTGGCCTCTGGGGACATCAAAATGAAAAAGTAAATCGGTCCCGGGTCTAGGTCTTACCGTGCCACCTACGGTAATAGCTACTTCCCTATAGGGAAATTCGCTAAAAGAATAGAAGTAAAATAAAATATTTTTCAATGTTGAATTTAGACATTATAGACTTACGGCAATTATTAACCCATTTTCTATCTGCGGGAAAAAAATCTTAATCAAATTTTTAGACGGTGAAAATTTAAAGGAAGTTCACTACCTGTTTTATTACATTTTCATGGTATTGATGAAGTATTACAATCCAAAGTTTTAACTATATAACTAAGATTCATACAATTTCTGTTAAAGACTTTTTTAAATACTTACGAATACTCTTATACTCTTATAACTAAGATTCATACAATTTCTGTTAAAGACTTTTTTAAATACTTACGAATACTCTGGATAAATTTGTGAAATACAAATCATGGAAGCTTACAACAGTTTATTAACATAACGCTTGGATTTTGTATTTATCGAAATTGCTGATCAAATACAGTAAACAGCTTAGTTTAACTACCCTGAAAATTCTGAGGTTTGTGTCTAAAACAGAATGTAAATATTCGGATGATCTTTTTCCTAGATTAGTTATTTTCAGAATTTTGTCAGCAAATAAAACTACCATAGTACATTCAACGTTAAGAAAACCAAACCTATTTTTATGCTACTTCATATCGTCAATATTTGTGGCCAAATACTTATTAAAACCCCTATTTTGTAAAACCCCATTTCTTTACGTTACTTTAAAAATTAACCATAATATTTGGTATTTTAAGAATGAATGAGGACGGTTTCCAAACGTAAATGATTATCGTCTTTCAACTGAAAAATAAAAAAATATTTACCTAATATTTAAAATTATTGATTTATTAAA